GGAAATGACCTCAAACTGAGTTGGTTTTTGTCACATGTTTTTGGTGCTTGTGTGCTTTCTTGACAATGAAGGCCTGTTTTTTATTCCCTTTACTATTTACTCAGCTCCACTAAGTTCCTGCTTTGTATTGTGATGTTTCCATATGAAGTATTACAGTCATTTATACTGGAACCCCATACCACTGCCAGAGCCATTCTTACAGCTAAAAAGTATGATGATACTGCAACCCTGCCTAAAAACTATATGTACTGCATATTCTGTTGTTACTACTATTTATATACTATATACAATTTTTGTGTTTAACAATTTTTTCAGGATTTTGTTTATTTATTTTTTGAGTAATACATTCATATAAAATGTCATAATAATGTGATGAAATATTGATAAAAAAGCACCAAGTGCCAAATGTAGTGTCTTAATATTTTTTGTTTTATTAGTTCAACAGTCAAAAAAGAAAAATACATTTTGTTTGCTATGACATAAAACAGAGAAAAACTAAATCTTGAATTTGGAGAAGTTGAAGTCAAACCAACTTTTCTACTTTTCGTGTTTTTGAATAGAGAAATGATTTTCTGTCCATCAACTGAAAGATTTCATATTTAAATGTTTGTCCCCTTTAGTCATGCAGAAAGACATCTAAAGTGACTTTGAATAATAGACTGACATCTCAATGTTGTTTCTATGAAAAAATAATTAAACTTGTTAAAAATTCACAAAAACAGGTTTATCTGTTCTAATAAGATCTGGATCTTTGAACATGTAATTATTGTTCATTTTCAAAGTTAAACTGCTCAAATCAAGATGCCTCCAATTTCACCAGTGTTATGTGACAGAAGAAATAAATTTATATGTGTGTGTTCATTGGCACTAATGTTCTTATATTTACTGTAGATGTATTTGTATAATGGAGAGCGAAATCTGAACACACTGAGGTAAAATTCCATGTGACCCAGGATGAAATGCACCATTCACCAGGTGAACATGGACTATGATCCTTGAAGTGCACTCGGCCTCCTGATGTCCTGACTGTGACTCAACACTGACATCTCTCTACTTGTGTCTCCAGATTCAGACCAACCCTTGTCAACCAGTCACAGATCCAGCTCTGTTAACGGCACCAGGGAACCTGATGGTGTCACCTTCTTCATCATCCAGGGCCTCTCCAGCCTCGGTGACAGACAGATGATCCCATTTGTCATCCTGCTGCTGGGTTACATCATCATCCTGGGAGGAAACAGCATGATCATCTTTGTGGTATGAAACAAAGCTGTGTGTATTTGATCTGTATTGTCTCAGTCTGAGTGAGATTAAATTATTAGTTTGATAATCATTCCCATTTTTTTCCTCATCAGGCTGTGACTGATCCAAAGCTCCACTCTCCCATGTATTTCTTCCTCTGCCACCTCTCCTTTGTGGACATGCTCTTTACCACCACCACCATCCCCAAAATGCTGGCTGGCTTCCTGTCAGATGTGTCAATCATTTCAGTTCCAGGCTGCTTCCTCCAGATGTTTTTCTTCATTCAGCTAAGCATTACTGTTACTGCCATCTTGGCTGCTATGGGGTATGACCGCTACGTGGCCATCTGCCACCCTCTGCACTACACCTCCATCATGACCCGACGTGTCCAGCTGCTCCTCATCGTAGGAGCCTGGGGCTTTGGCATCTTCTGCCCCTTGCCATCCACCATTATTGCCATTCAACGACCCTACTGTGGTTCAAATGTGGTCAAACATGGCTGGTGTGACATGTCATCTGTAAGGCAACTGGCATGTGGTCACATCTTACTGGATAACATTGTGTCCCTTTGCTTCGCCACACTGTCTCTACTGATCCCAGGACTCCTCATCCTGACCTCCTATATCCTGATTGGCATATCAATATTGAGGATGGGTGTTTCTCAGAGGCTGAAGGCCTTCAGGACATGCGCTGCCCACCTGACTGTGGTGTCCATCTCTTTTGGCTCAGCTGCCTTTGTGTACATCTCCTACCGTGTGGGAAACTTTTCGACTGAGGTAGGAGACTCTAATAACCTGACTTTAATATTTACCCTTGCCTTTGTTTTAGTATGTCTCACATCTGTCCACCAAAAGTGACATTTAAGGCCCTATTTTCAGCACAGAGAGTTTAACCAGGCTGGCTGATTTCACATCATATCATTTAATCCATAGTGTTTCACTTGGTGAAACAACCGTGTCAGCCAACTGTTTGCAAAATAGCTGCAAATGCACCCTCGCGTGTTGCATCAAAACAAAATCCAATATTACCATGAATCCAAGCGATTCAGCTGTTTTCTTTGGAGCTGTTTGTTTGTATATGGTTTCACGTGCTAATGAACATCTGCTGCACAACAAAAGAGTTGATTCCTACTGTTCATTTTTGGCTTTTGGTTTTGGGGTAACATGGTGCTGTGCCTTCTGGATTTGTCCACAGGAATATAATAAAATGTTATTCAAGTGAGCTTAAAAAGTTACATAGTTTTATGTTGGAAAATGTTTTTAGGAAGATGCTTTATTTTTCTTTTATTCAAGTAGTTTTAACTTTTCCCTTTGAATGCTGGTCTGGGCCGCTCACCCTTAAAAACAGGAATCAGATGCAGAGCATTATTAAGGAAGACAGCAAGATTATTGGTAAGACTTTGGGTGACGTATCAAACTTATATAAAGTTTCTGAAGAAGGCAGAGTCCATCTCTGCAGATCCCAGTCATCATTTGTTCGGAGAGTTTAAGTTGCTTCCATCTGGACATACAGTAGATAGAAACAGCCATGATGCAGGACAAACAGGTTTAAAAATTCTCTTGTCCCAGCTGCTGCTGGTTTCTTAATAATCACAGTCAGATGAGTAGTGTACCCTCTTTTCAGTCTGTTTTAACTATGTATTTCCTGTTATTAGTGTTTGGATGATGCTGTGGAGACTGTGTATGTAGTACTGGCTGTACATAGATTTGCCCCTTAGGGATAATAAAGGATTATCTTATCTCACCCTTTCTTACTTTGTCATTCAAAGTGTTTATGAAGGGCTTTGAACAGAAGGTTTGACAGCCACACAGCAGATTTCCCAGAAATCTGAAATTATGCTGGACAACAAACTGATCTACATTATCATCACTGGTGGAAAAACATGACAGGTATGCTAAGTGAACCTTGCGAAAATGTTTTATTGAACAATAAAACATTTTTGTTTGTTTGTTTTTTAGGTTCGTATCATTGTAGCTGTGCTGTACGCCGCTCTGACTCCTTTCCTGAACCCAGTGATCTACAGTCTGAGGAACAAGGAGCTGCAAGAGTCCATGAGAAGGACTCTGGTCAGGTTCAGGTCTGCTACTGTTTCAGCCAAAAAGAACGTCAACACAGTGTCCTGACTGGGAAGGAAACCTGCCACTCTGCTTCCTGGACGCAAGAGAGAAGAGAAATGAACATTCAGGAAACTTAAAGCATAAGGCCAGTGATTTCCTATATTAATAGTTCTTTGTCAGTTCTAGTCTCTGTATGGAGTGTTGAAAATACTGTTAATATAGAAAATGATTGGCCTTATCTTTTCATGTCCATTTGTGATTAAAAAGTGACTGCCTTAGAGAAAACTTAGCAGAGTCTCTGAGTTTATTTGCAGCTGATGCACAGCCGAAGCACTGATGGCAAACCTCTGAGTCTTTCTCTGGTGTGGTCAATACATGTCATCGGTTTGTATCATGAACAGTGGAGACACATTCCCAGGATTTTTTAAAAATTCTGTCTGTGCCAAAAGTTTTGAAAGCACATAAAATAATTGCACTCCTCAGTTTATAAATCAGACTTTGAGAGCAGGAACAGATTTATAAAAGCTGAATCACATTTAAGGGCAAGGGAGGATCAGTGCTGCTCATTCAAATCATTTGTTATGATCATGATTTGATACTACCTCACATCTGTATTTGCTCTTAGAGATCTGTGTCTACAAGCTCTCAAATGTTGAGCTGCAAACTGAGTAACATTCGAAATGTGGTTAGAGTGAATGCAAACATTATGGCAAGAACCTGCTTCCAGAATGGACAAACTCAAAATAGTTGAGTATAGTAGCAAAAACCAAGGCACAATGACACGTTCACATAAGCAATTAAAGTTGTCTTTTAACAAGGAGGTCAAACACCTGAAACAGACAGTTGTTACCCTGGTAAAGACAATTACGTGTCTGTGTTTACTTTGCTGATGCTTGTTTATAGCCACAGAGGAAACTAAAAGTCAGTCCCTCTGGTGTTCCTTTGCTATCCTGTGTCCAATTTACATTTTTGATGCAAAGGATCTGATGTAACTTGGTGTAATTAACATTTCTTGGCTTCATTATAATCAGAAGAAAGGTCATTGTTGCTGAAAAGCCAGAGTGTGGAGCTAAGATGAAGTCCTGCCTTTATCGAACTGAACCTGACTGAGCAGAGCCGAGTCTCATTCACGTCTTCAGGTAAGATGATGATGTTCACATGTTGTATAGATCATGGTCTGGTGTTTGCAAGTTGTTTCCTGTTGTGCAGGGGCTGAGATGTTTAAAGCCTGATCACTGTTTATTACCTGTGTCTTGTGTGCTATCAAATGGAGCTTGTGAACAGATGAAGTTAGTCTGCACTTGTTGTCTGTTGACAGTAGATCTGTCTCCATCCAGCCATCTATCCATCTGTCTGTGCTGAGGAGAAATGGAGCTTTGGCCGCTTCAGGTCTCACTTGAAAGCCCCAGAGGTCTGTGAGTGTTTTTGTGCTTTTCATTGTGTGTTGATGACTCTGTGCTGCACTGGTTTCATGGTGTGAGCTTTGTGACAGGCAGTGTGTTGTTCTGCTACAGATATGAAATGTATGACAAATGTCAGTTTATGCCTTGAAAACTGTTGTGTAACCTTTTCTGTGCATTTTTTATTTGAACACTAATCATTTTCCAGTAATTGAAGGCGATGATACATTAGGTTCAAAGTGCCTAACATCATTTGCTGATGCCTGCATTTATCTCAGTGCTGAGCTGTTTCCCACTTGTGTAGTTTACATACAGGCTCATCTGCTGAAGTAACTGCTCTTCTCTCACAGTGTTGTAGCTGTACACTACATTCATGTCTAATGAGCTACATCACTGACATGGACTGAACTTAAAACAAATTGAACTGACCTCAAACTGAATTGGTTTCTGAGCCTTGTTGACAATGAATGCCTGTTTTCTAGTTTTATTACGACCTTTCCTGGTACAGTAATGTTAAGTTCTTACACTGTTAGTTGATGTTTCTGTAGTAATTAATTGATATTGTAAAGCATTGCTGCTACCAAAGCCTTCCTTACAGCTGACAACATAGGGAGATGAATGTTGTATTTATATGCTATGTTTGTAATGAACTGTTTTCTTGCTTTATTCACCCAGTAAAAAACAATATTTTGTTACTATGACACAAAATAGAGAAAAACAAATCTTTGATTTTGAGAAACTGAAGTTAAAGGTTTGCTCTTTGCTGTATTTCTCTTCTTTGCATGAAAAACTGCTTTTCTCTCCATCAACTGATTTATCCACTAATTGTTTCAGTAAAAGACAAACAGTGGTGTACACTGGGGGTCCCCTCAGTCATGTATTTAAAATGGCTCTGCTTTGAATAATAAACTGGTCTTATTTCACTTATTAAAAGTTCTCAACAACAGAAACACATTTTTTTCTCTTCTCATTCATTCGTTCTGGATCCTTGAATGTGTGAATATTGTTCCAAATCAAAGTTTAAAGTAACAATATGTAACTTTTTAACATTAAAATAACAGCTTCCAAATCATTTTGATGGCAGACTGACATCTAATAAGGTGAATGGCAGCTCTGTTATTTCCACTTTGTGGAAATCATCTGTTTCTGCACTGTGTAACTTTAGAACACTGTCCTGGAGGCCTCGTGTGATAGCTGTGTTTTCCTTTACAGCATCAGGCCCTTCCTCTAGCTCAGTATTGATACATGTGGAGACAAAACCCTGGGCCTTTATTGAATTTAGAGTTGTTGTTTTTTTTTTCTCAGGTGAGAAAGCGGCCTCTTTGTGAATATGTGACCAGTCTAACAAGTAATGTTAATTTGGAAATGTGCTCTATTTATGAAGAGGTGATTGCTCCTTATTGGACCAAGCCAGCTCTACTGGCAGGCAGCTACATCTCACTCAGTGCACAGTCTGTTGGTGAGGATGCCAGTGCTCCAGTTGCACAGTGTCCTCCCATCCAGAGGGGTTTGGACTTACTAACTCATTATCTTCACTTACTGTGATCGTGAACAAACTGTGCAACACAACGTGGACTCTAGCACACACCTAGCATCTTGGCTAACCCTGTCGATGTCATCCCATCTCACAGAGAGTTGTAGTTTTTCCCAGATGTAAACAGTCAACTACCTCCGTTTCCCAAACAAATAAATTCACCTCACGCCAGAAAGTTTGGTCAGCATTTGCACACTGATGCCAAATAGGTCTTTAAGGTTTGCAGCCTAACAAACTCATCTCAGCTACAGTAGAACTTGCAATAAATTACACTACCAACTGTATATAATGTTCAATATGAGCCCATATCATTTTGTCAATGTTGCGTTCCATTACACATGCCCACATGCAAACGCTAAGCAAACTATATGAAAATATAAGCAGTATTTCAGTAAAACTCAGTGACTCAACGCTGACACCTCTCTACTTGTGCCTCCAGATTCAGACCAACCCTTGTCAACCAGTCACAGATCCAGCTCTGTTAACGGCACCAGGGAGCCTGACGGTGTCACCTTCATCATCATCCAGGGCCTCTCCAGCCTCGGTGAAAGACAGATGATCCCATTTGTCATCCTGCTGCTGGGTTACATCATCATCCTGGGAGGAAACAGCATGATCATCTTTGTGGTATGAAACAAAGTTGTGTGTCTCTATTGTTGACTAAAAATGATGGACAGGCTAAGCACTTCCAGAAGTGAAGCTGCTGACTCCATCGCCCCCTGGTGGCTGTTTTACATTATAGCTAATAAATCCCACCCCGTCCATGTTAGTGGATGGGAAATGAGCCAGGTCTAATTGGTGGTTTTTGAAAAATATTCTCACACGAATGTGTGTACAAGTGCACAAAATAAGTCTGTTGTTAGGTATTTGATGATGTTGAAATTGTATCTGATTTGCTTTGGTTGGCGGTCTGATGCTGGCACTTCACTTCTGGTCAATGTGTCTGTATTTACTCAGTATTGTCTCAGAATATCAAATTATTAGTTTGATAATCATTCCCATTGTTTTTCCTCATCAGACACTGACTGATCCAAAGCTCCACTCTCCCATGTATTTCTTCCTCTGCCACCTCTCCTTGGTGGACATGCTCTTCACCACCTCTACCATCCCCAAAATGCTGGCTGGCTTCCTGGCAGATGTGTCAACCATCTCAGTCCCAGGCTGCTTCCTGCAAATGTTTTTCTTCACTCAGCTAACCTTTACTGGTCATGCCATCCTGGCAGTCATGGCGTACGACCGCTACGTGGCCATCTGCCACCCTCTGCACTACATCTCCATCATGACCTGGCAGGTCCAGCTGCTCCTTGTAGCAGGAGCCTGGGGCTTTGGCATCTTCACTATGTTGCCATACTTCATATATGCTTTACTCCGACCTTACTGTGGCCCAAATGTGGTCAAACATGCCTGGTGTGACCCGTCATCTATAAGGCAACTGGTCTGTGCTGACACCTCAGTGGATAACATTGTGGGCCTTGTCACTGCCGCTCTGTCTCTACTGATCCCAGGAGTCCTCATCCTGACCTCCTATGTCCTGATTGGCATTTCAGTATCAAAGATGGGTGTTGCTCAGAGGCTGAAGGCCTTCAGGACATGTGCTGCCCACTTGACTGTGGTGTCCATCTCTTTCACCTCAGTTGCCTTTGTGTACATCTCCTATCGTGTGAGAAGCTTCTCACCAGAGGTACGAGACTCAAAAAATCAGATTTTCATATTTACCTTTGACTTTGTTTCAGTAGGTTTTCAACACTTTATGTCCTGTATTCAACACAGGTAGTTTAACCAAAACTACGGCTATGTTCACATCATATTCTTTAAATCATAAATATAAGAAGTCAAATGGGACAAACTGTTCTCACCAGCATGTCATTTGTAATTCAAAGTTGGAGGTTGGCCAGAATTCCAGCAATGTCTTCCACTTGGTTAACTGGACTACCAACATGTTAACCAACTGTTTGCAGAATGGCTTCCAATGGCAGTGGCACCAAAATAAAATACAAGAATAATACTTATATGTTACAGTCACCTCATTTGTTAGGAACCATGCACTGTTGGTTTGTACCTGGTTTCACTTGGTGCCACCAAAAGTAACTCATTCACAGTGTTCATCTGGTGTGATTACAGGTCATCACAAGGCCTGACCTCTATGAAATAATGTATGAACACTGTCAAGTCAAAATGAGGAATGTTGTTCCAACATTGTGCGAATGCAGCACAACAAGAACAGAAGGTTCACTATTGTGTTTCCAAAGCTTTCAACCACATCACGTTGTTCAGTTGTTATAGAGACCACAACAAACCACATGCCCGTAGGAACTTTTACATATAAAACCTGAAAGCAAAATTCCAGAATTTCTTCTCAGATAATATTCTTTTAATGATTTTTTTAAACCCGTAGGTCAAAGTCCTTTGTTGATTTTGTTAGGTACACAGTGCGCTTGTAATGCTCAGGGTTGAGGTGAGAGGATACTGACATTTAACCAATAACAGATGAAAGTCCTGTGCAGACATGCCCCCTTCACCCTTCTGTTTGTGGAAATTGGTTTTAGTACTACCTCCCGAGGGGTACTGGGGTTTAGTTCCTGTTAAGCACCTCTAAAGCCGGCGGAGAGCAGTGGAAACAAACACAGAACCTGTGACAACTGTCATATGGCTCAACACGTTTCAGTAGATTACTATGGTGGAAAAACTTACATATGATCTTTTATTTTATGAACCTTGTTATGGTTATGAAGGGCATTGATCTAAAAGTTTGACAGTCAATGGACACAGCAAATTTTCTGGAAATATGAAATTGTCATGTGCTGGACACTAGACTGACCCACCTTGTCATACTAAGCAAGAAAAATATGGTAGGTAGGTTAAGTCAGCCTTGTGAGTCCAATAAAGAGTTTTTTGGTTTGTTTTTTAGGTTCGTATCATTGTAGCTGTGCTGTACGCCGCTCTGACTCCTTTCCTGAACCCAGTGGGTGGACTGTAAAAATGGTGGACAGGCTAAGCACTTCCAGAAGTGAAGCTGCTGACTCCATCACCTCCTGGTGGCTGGTTACATTATAGCTAATAAATCCCACCCCGGGAAGGAAACCTGCCACTCTGCTTCCTGGACACAAGACAGAAAGCAACTTAATGTCCATGTGATTAAAAAGTAACTTCTTGGAAAAAACCTAGTGATGATATAATTCTTAACCAATCTTCATGAATGAAATGTATATTGTGGTGGTGATGTATGACTGCTCAGTGTGCTGTGAATTCCTCTCCAGTCGATCTTGTTTGTTTTAGCTTCCTCATAGTTATATTTTCTGTCCTGGCCGTTACCACTGTAACAATCTCTCTTTATGCTTGAGTAGTGCCCCATTGCAAGTGTTGCCCACAACGTTGCCAGCCTTGTGTGCCCATGCCTGTCTTTTGTGAAGGTCAGCTGTGTCTCCAGCATCCCTGACTTTTCTTGGTTGCTGTCCAGGCTCTTCCTAAAGTCCACAGTCATCTCCAGTGTTTTGAGCATGTTCAACTCCAGGTTGTTGCGACCACAGGACCATCTGTTCAACCTCCCATCTGTAGGCTGACTCGACACCGGCTTGGATGAGACTGATGACCGTTGTGTCATTTGTGAACTTCAGGAGTTTAACACCTGCTGCCTCCTATCTGTCAAGAAGCTGGTGATCCACTGACAGGTGGAGGCAGGCACAGTGAGCTGGGCCAGTTTAGAGGGGAGGATGTCTGGGACAATGGTGTTGAACGCCGAGCTGAAGTCCACAAAGAGACCCCAAGCATAGGTCCCTGGGGAGCGAAGCTATGGCAGACATGACAATTTGATTTGATTTGATTTGATTTATTCTTTGAAGCATATAAAACAGTTGATATAACAACACACATTTTTACACACAATCCAATATCAATTTGCTTATACCTAGTACATGCTTGAATGGAGTAGGAAGAAGTCAGACTTATCCAGTCCTACCCCATGACATCATCTT